GCAACTGGGACATCTTTGTTGCATTCTTCACTGCAAGATAATTGCACTTCGCATAAGCACAATAAAATGATAAAAAGGTAATGCCACAAAAGGAAATCCATACATGGGGTGGGGATGTTAACTATAAAAAAGCAAGGTAAGATGACACGTAACATAAATCCAATATCAATCAACCCATCTATAATGAATTTTTTTTTCTTTTTTTTCTTTCTAAAGGATAGAAAAATAATAGCAAGTTAAAGTTCCCAATTTCTTGAGATTCACACAGAAACATTCAAAAGAAAAATAAATATTACCATTTAGCAAAGAGCTTATGTTGTGCTTCTTAACAATTCTCGAAGTATTGGCCAGCAAATTTCTCTCGGCCACGCTCCTACATGGAATGAAGCTTTGTGTGCATATGTAGACAACAACAAATCTGAAATTATTAACCAAAAAATGAAAGGAAAAAATTATTTAAAAGGGAGAAAGAGAGAAATATACGCACTTTGAGTGTATCTAAAAGTAGAATTAGGCGCAGAGAAAAGAGGAAGAGGAGATGGAGTTCAAGGTAGTACCGACAACATTGCGCTGTGCGTCAAATGCGGGGTCGCCGAAAATCACGCCTCCGCCGCCCCCAGAATCCTGTGCCAGAAATGCTTCAATTCGGTGAAGAGTCGCGCCGCCACCGTGGATAAATCCTTCAGATCCAGTCCGCCCGCGAGGTTTTCGACGGAGGGGAGCTCGGATATGCCCCAGCGAGCGGAGATCCAGAGAAGGAGGCGTCGGTTGAGTCTGCGGCCTAGGGCTTCGAAGAGGCGGTCTACGCCTACACTTACGAAGGGTGTGGTGGAAGAGAGAGTTCATCACCCGCGTTTAACTCTCATTTAGAGGATATGAGAATTGAGGAGAGAAAATGAAGGGCAACATTGGTTTTGTGTCTGAAATTGTGGTGGGATGTGATGCTTGCGTGTTTGACGAAAGCTTGTACGTAAAAACAAAGACAGAAACGTGACAACCGAAAAACCAGGCCAAGAAAGCAAAAAAGGCATCTCTGCAAAAGTCGGAGAGTAAGTTACGAAAAAAACACAAAGAAAATTATTGGAACACAACAAAAACAAGGGTAAATAAGGCATAAAAAAAGCGTCCATAAGAAACGAAAAACAAAAAGGGGAAATGCTAAAGTCTCGTTACGGTACCATCCCGTCAAGTGTTTTAACCGTTGGATCACATGTAGTTTGTATAAGATAGATAATCCAACGGTTTAAACACTTGACGGGATGGTACCGTAACGGGACCGTAGTCTTTCCCAAACAAAAGTGAACCCAATGTCGCAAAAGTAATAAAGTGTGAGAATTGTGGACACGTGTCGACCAACAAAAGTGTCCAAAATGGACACTTGTCAACACCACAAACGGTCTTACTCCTTCATATATAGATAAGAGAGATATGATATAATTTTCTATAAAAACATAAAAACTAATATATATATAGGGATGCGCTCTGGTGAGAATGGTTCGTAGTGAAAGAAATAAGAATGCATCATAACCATAACCATAAGATCTAATAATCCAACCGCACAAAAGAAATCAAAATTATACACTAATAAGGGTTATACTAGACATTTCCCATCCAGGACCCAATACCATCACTCTCCCCCACTTTTTATCTCTGAAACACGCACACACACACTTTAATGGTGATTCACGCAGATCAAGCCCCGCATCTCGAAAATCCATCGCCCCTACCGCCACCGATCCTGCTCCTCCGCCCTTCTCCCGCCGCCGCGGCCGTTGCAGTTCCCCCCCCTGCCACCACCGCCCCTGCCCTTTTCAAAAATCCGAGCCTTCAATTTTCTGCTCGTGCGCGAAAAGATCCACCATCATCTTTGTCTATGATGTGAAGAAGACCGCGATTCACGCCTATAATCGGATCACTAGCAGCGGACATAGCAACCCACCGCCGCCGCAAGCGGCCGCTCCGCCACTCCTGCAGTACCGCCAGCGCGACTCCAAATTATGGTGGCCGCCTCGCGAAGTGAATCACGTGGATCTGGCTTTCCGTCGTGTTAAAGCGACACGTGACGGTGAAGATCCTCGCGCGGCAGAGGTTTTTTCGGAGCCGACCACGAGATTGGCGAAGAGCTGGAACGATTTTCTTTTTTTATTTGGGGGAGGGGGTCTTTTATTTGGGAATTAAATAAGTCTAAGGACTTATTTACAATTTTTCTGTTTTAATATATTGCAATTTACACTTTTGGCAAATCTATAATTTAACAAAAGTTTAATAATTGCACAATAAGTTCAATGGAATGCACAATATAACGTCTTGATATGCACATTAAATATAGACGTTTTGATATTGAAAATATCCTACAAAAATGCATAATAGTGTTGATATTGAAAATATTTTACTAGATGCACAATAGTGTTAAATGAAATGCATTGATATTGAAAATATCCTACATGCTGCACCATAGTGTTAAATGAAAAGCACATTAATGTCTGTAAAAATACACAATAGCGTAACAGTATAATATTGGCATTTGTGGTGGGGCCCATTAGTGACTAGGATTTATTGTTAATGACAAAATACCCTTAATGAGTGTCAAATGACAAAATTACCCTTAATGAGTTTGACTTTAATTATTAACTTTGACTCCATCATGACCATTCATTTGCTAGATCTAAAGGCCTACATTTATTCTTATTTCTTTCAATATGACTCATTCTCATTTGAGCGCACTTCTATATATATATATATATATAGGAGAGAGTTCAAATGAGAACTCTATGTTGGTGTAAAAACTAGGAACCAATCCTAGTCATTGATTATGTTAATATTGATGGTCTTGATTGATTCAAATATTTTTTATTTACTTATTTAAAACACTACACTTAATTATGAGTGTTTATTTTTGTCAACATTGTTGTTTATTAATTACATTAGTACAGAGTTTTATGGAGAGATTATTTAGACTTAGATTTAAAATGGTAAGAATTAGTCACTTCCTTTTCCACGCAATGTCTTCAATTCAACTAGTAAGTTACATATTTTGAACTGTATCACACGTAATACATATTACTAGCAAAAAAAATAAATAAATGAAAGCAACAAAAACTCTTGAAAGTTGATATACACAATCATAGACTCAAAGATAGTCTATTTCAATAAAATAAGAAGGAACCACCTACACAAAAAATACCAACAAAATATATATTTTCATTTAGTTTTTATCTCAACTTGTGTGCTATAAAACATACAATTCATTCTAAAGAAGAATAAAATTTTGGCAAAATACTATAAACTAATATCAGTTTAAAATTTTAGCAACAATTTTAAAGAATAATAGCAACGTCCTTTACACATATTAGCACATTCTATATTCCTATTTATGTCCCATTATGATGTTATTTTTATCTGGTCATAATGTTATTTTTATGATTTTAAGTTTTTGAGTATACATATTAATCAATATATGTACAAGGAAAAAAAATCATTATTTTTATAATAAAGAAATTCATAAACTAGAATAAAGGAAAGCATATATAGTAATAAAAAAAACATCACAACCATTAAAAAAAAGCAACAAAATTGTTGTAAATAAATTTCATTAATATTAATATACATTTATTTTATGTTTGCAAAGATTACGTTTAAATATTCCAAGAACAAATATATGGAGATGCAATGAATATGGTAACATAAAAAACTTTTACTTCCATAGATACCCTACAACTTAATTAGGACATAACTTATGTGCAAATAATGGCAGTAATTTAAATCTAATCTGAATCGTTAATATTAGTATAATTAGTGGTTAAGATTGGTTCCTAGTTCTTACATTAGATGGAGTTTTTATTAGAACCCTACCCTATATATATATATATATATATATATATAGAGAGAGAGAGAGAGAGAGAAGAGATCGCATGAGAATGGTAGATATTGAAATAAATAAGAATGATTATGGACCATTGAATAGGTACGATCAATGAACGTATTTAAGTCAAAATTAAATAATCTGGTCAAACACCCGGTGGCAAAACTGTAAATAAATAACATTGTGTGGTCAAAATATACATCAGAAGGGCAGTTCTGTAATTTAGTAACCCATCCACCTGGTGGGTCCCACCACAATTATAACCATCAATTTTCTGTCACACACACCAAAAAAACACTCCTCTCTAACACACACAAAACACCTCACGACACACACACACACACAAACTCAACGGAGCAGCTGCCGGACGTCAACCGCGCCACCGCCGCAAGTATCGTCGGTCACGTCGTCCGGCGACACCAACCCGCTGTCGTCGATGTGGAGAACACTCCGATTCCGGCACTGTACGTGGCTCTGTGGTCGTCCTCGCCCGGCGCTGTGTGGTCCTCGGCACCGCCGCCGGCATTAATCTGTAAGATTTTGCGGGCCGCAACAATGGCAGAAGTGGCGGATCTTGTCAAAGTGCTCGTTGCCGCGTGGACGGTGGAGGTGGGAGGATGGACCTTAATGGACAGAGCGGCATCTGAAGTTGCTCGTGTAGGGGACGGCGGTGGTCGGTGGTGGTCTTCAATGGCGACGACGGTGGCAGGAGAATGGCAGATGAGCGGCGGGCGAAGATGCGCGTTTTTATGTGGGCGAAGGTCAGCGACGGCGGTCTAGAAGGGGTCTCCAGCGGCGTCCGTGATGCGGGGGTACTTCGATGGCGACGACAGTCCCTGTGCGGCGGCGACGGTGACGGTGGACGGAACGGCCGCTGGAAGCTCCTGCGTTTTTTAGGGGTTGAGGATTTCTTTTGGAAAAATTGATAGGGTTTGAGGACTTATATGCAAATTTTAAAAGTTAAATATACTTCAATTAACTACAAGGGTTAAATTTGTAATTTTTGAAAACTTTAATAAATGCATCATATGGATTAAATTGCCAATTAAAATATTATTATTTTTTTATATGAAATTATTAAAATATTAATAATTACACAACACTAATAAATAAATTGCACAATATAGTGTGTACACATGCACATTAATGTTATGTAAATTGCACATTTTCGATCATTATGTTGCACGTTAATCGTATATAAATTGCACATTAATATTTTTATCTAACATTTTATTTATTTTAATTGGAAAAATAATAGTTTTATAAAAAAATATAAAAAATAGTATTTGTTTATATGGTTTGGTCGGTCCGATTATTCTGGTTACTTAAAAGTTAAAAAATAAAAAATGGCATCGAACCAAAATAACTAAAATTTTAAAGGTAACACATAATCGATCCGACATAAAAGTCGAATACAAAAAACCAAGTCAGTTGGGTTCGGTCGATATAGTGCAATATGATAGTCGCTAATGTGGAATCAGTCTAACATTAGAGTGCAATCCTAAAGACGTTAACTTGCAGTCAGCCTAACACTAATGCCTATTCGAAGTACAATTATTTTTTTAATTTTTTTAGTTAATAGTTTATATTGTTGTTTGATGAAAATAAATAATAATAATATATATATATATAATATAAAAAAATAATAATTTTTATATTGTTCGATCGGTTATTTAAAAACATGTTGTTTTATAAGGTGCAACATGTTGTTTTATAAAGTGAGATGTTCTGCTATATAAAGTGCGATAATATATAGTTCGATCGGTTATTTAAAATACGTTGTTTTATAAGGTGCAACATGTTGTTCTATAAAGTGCGATATTTTATTATAGAAAGTGTGATTTAAAACATATTGTTTTATAAAAATATATTCAGTATTTATATTTTTTTATTTAATATCTTATATTATCATTTGTTGAAAATAAATAATATATATATAATATATAAAAATAATATTTTTCAGTAGCTAGGTTTTGTTTGTTATCTTTTGGAGCTCATTGTTTATTTTTCAAAATTTTCTGTGTGTTTGGGGTGTTCTCGAGCATGTAATGCTTTTCGTATCTTGTTTCCTGTGATTGAAGCTTCATACTCATTTTAAACTTTGACACTTCAATTTCACTTAATACATTGCACATTTGCATGCTAGTTGTGTAGAATGTTCGGCAGGCCGTGCAAATTGTGTTTCTTGGCAATAAATGTAGTGGTGTTGAACGATTATCGAGTACAATGCAGTGTTTGTGTAGCTGCTCTAGCAGGGCTTTGTATCTTATGGTGTTAGGGGTTTTTGAGCATGTAATTCTTTTTATATCTTCTTTCCCAGCGCAAGAAGCTCTGTACTCATTTTAAACTTCGACACTTCCTTTTCACTTAATACATTACACATTTCGATGCTAGTTTCTTGTGTTTCGCACGTTCAGTTCAGTTCAGAAATTGAGTTGCCATAATACTTGTTGCAAATGCCCGATTTTGTTTCAATATTCATTTCTTTTAGGCTATGTTTGGTAAGCCAAATAAGTTAGCTTATAGCTTATTTTGTTAGCTTATAAGCTCTGTGTATTCAAATAATCCTCGTTTGGTAGGACGAGCTTTTTTAAAAAGTTCGAGCTTATCTCATAAGCTACTTTAGGTAGCTTTTCAAATAAGCTACTTTAGGTGTAATTTTACCAGACATTTTTATCATATAAGCTAGTTTTTCAGCTCATAAACTATAAGTTATAAGCTTAAAAGTTACATATAAGCTATAAGCTAGCTTATCAGCTATCAGTTAGCTTATCAGCTAGTTTTACCAAACATAGCCTTATTATGCTCAACTTTAATGGTTTAGACAACGTTGATCTCGGAACTGCATGCGGGAAATATTTTGACCCACGTATATTTTTTACTATACTTTCCTGGAGTTTCTAGTTGTTTTTTTCCCCTGTTTTGAGAATTTTAGCCTATTTGTTCTCACACGGGAGTAATGATTTCAGGTGATTCGGACATAATCAAATCTTTGCCTGGAGATCAGTGACATCAAGAATATCACCATAGAACAATTACAAGGGCAAATGGATTTTCTCAAGCATTTCAAGCATAATTGTTATTAACATTTTGATTCAGGAGCTCGGTTCTTTCACGAGCTTCATCATGTCTTGATGTTATGGAGAGGACTTCTGAGGCTTGGCTATGATTGTTTTTATGCTTGTTTTATGAATCATGGATGCTCTTTAATTCAGCTTTTGTAAGCAAACCGTGTTAACTAAATCAATTTTCAAAGTTAATCTTCATGCTGAAAAAACATATGTTGCAAATGTACTTGGCTAACCATAAACAGCCTAACAACAACATATAATGAAATTTTCTCATTTATCTTTGGGCTGAATTAATAAATTTTCCCATTTATATTTGAAAATCAGCAAAAGACAACTCTTCACCTTCCAAGTTCCAAGAAGATAGGCAGGGTGTAACAGGATAATCATCCGTTTTAACTCTTTCTTTGATCTTTGATGAGTTTCTCGCTTTTCAGAGAGTCTAGCCTCAATGGCTCGTAACTCGGGTTACAGGACAACGACTAGACTTGCTATTGCTTGATTAATTAACAAACTAACACATAATATAACATGTAGAACTCTTTCCTAAACCTTTGGACTCCTGAAAAAAACAAAGAGAAAGGAAAAAGATAAAAGTTCACAAGCTAGACAATTTCGACAGTATCGATTTTGTCACTAAGGACTCAGTTTTCTCAACAGCTGCAGTCAATACACACTTATGCGGTTTCACGAATACACCGCACTTGCTCACCAGGCACAAAACGAAATTTCCAAATCGCAAAGACTTGGAATACACTGCACTGAACTCACAAACCCGTCTGACAAGCTCATCAACAGAATCCCGCGTCAAACGAACATTACAATTCAAGATGTTTTGCCAAAGGCAAAACAAATACTCCGTAAACACCAAATCTTCACCAATCAAACACCTGTGGCAAGCCAAACACACGAACCTCTGTTCATTTCTATCTCCACACAGCACTTTCTGGCAAAATGCGGAAACTTGGGCTGGGTGCAAGCAATCTTTCACGATTCTAGTGATCACGTCACATATGGGACTATTTAAGCCCTCTTTTCGTAAAATCAACGGAAACAAAAGCGCATACTCAGCCGCCCTTTGGTGTGCCTTGCAGTATTCTATCACTGCCATCATTAAAACACGAGAAGACGGCTCTTTGAGGGATAAAAACTTGGGAAGGACAAACGAGCACAAGACATGGGCCGGCCAATCAAGCTTTTTCAAAACTTCATTCGTGCTGCACAAATGAGAAATCAAAACGGCTGCAGTCTCGTCATCCACGACCCATGGCTCGACTGAGGTCAAAATTACCAAAGAACCCCTTTTGGTCTGTAAACAAAGCTCTCGAATATCTTTCGCCAATTCCGAAGCATTCGGGGCGGATTCGAGATTTCGAAGCCGGGTTTTCAAAGATTTCGCCTTTATCTCAACTGCCTCGTCTATAGGGTCGCTAAGACTCGTTTCGTCCATATTCACCTCACGAACCACTTCACCTAATTCTAATTCTTGATTACTCTCATCCATGTCAACTTGAAAATCGCCTTCAGTGCTTTCGGGTATATTCTCGTTAAACTCGTCCGGCAACATAGGAAGCCATGGGAACATCCGCTCGCCATCTTTATCGGCATCTTTGAGCCAGTCAGGCATCGAGCTGAACAACTCCTCATCCTTTGTGTTTTCTTCCTCAGAGTCCAAATTCAAATGAGAAATCCATTTATTGTTCGACACAGGCAATAAATCGAGCAGCTGGTGGGCAGCTTTCTTGACCCAGAAATCGAGAACACCTTCCCCACTCAGCACAACTCGGGCAAGCCTGCACAGGTCCTTTTTGCAGAACCTCCGATGGTCGTAAGCAAGAAACGAGAAAATCCTTGCTTGGACCGTAAATGGCAGAGTCTCTATCCTCACAACCCTGCTCGCCCACAAAACGGAAAGCTCAAAAAATCCATTTTTGCACACAAAATATTATCTTTATCACACACCCACATACACAAACAATGAAACACTAACACATTTCCACTCCGATAGAAGTCAAATTTAAAAAATAACATGAAAGTTTTATCTGGGCCTACTTTTTTCCCTGAGTAGAAGAATCGTCAACTGGTCTTGTGAGCAGTGAAATGAGAGAGGCAGTTGAAATGGGAGTTGAGTTGGACGAAGGATTGAAGTTCTTCTGTAGCCATAGTGAGGCCTCGCTCTCGGGGCACGGTGAATTTAGAAAAATTTCGAATAGTGGTACCCACGCCTCCATTTTCATTCTTGTTTTACCTTTGTTCTTGGTTATGCGCGACAGATTGGGGATCGAATTAGGGTTTTGATTTGGGGCTCATCTGCAATTGGCGGTTCTTTCAACTCTTGAGAGCGTTGGTAAAAGAGCTTTTCCTTTTTCAAGATATATAGCATGCTATGTGGTAAGATTTATAGCCGGTTTTTCCCCCTTTTTTTTTATTATTATTATATGTATAAATGTTTGTTTGGTGTGATGTTTCTTTAAGAATTTGTAGATATTCTCTATAGATTTGCCCTTCTTCTGTCAAAAGTGAGTGTTTTTGGACATTAAATAAAGGTAGCTAGGAGGCTTACACTTCATATATCCACATATACTCTTGACTTGCAAAATTATCATA